TCTTCTTAAAATATAACTAAAAATAATATTACAAAGCTTTGATTTGCAGCTGTAGTAACAAGTACAAACTTAGCAACACATTATCATCTCTATAATTTATCATAGACTTAAAAATTCAGCAATATATATGCAAATGAAGAAAAAAAACAAACAAAAGGCAAAAATAACTCGAGAGAGACCAAACATGCAATAGAAGAAGAAACAAAATATTTCGTGCAGTAAAATTCAAAACCTTAAAAACTAGAAATTATCTAACACCTTAAGATGTCACAAATGAACGAATGAAATCTTTAAAAGAAAATTAACAATAAGATTCTCACATATTTTGACAAATTTTCCTCTAACATACACCTGAAAATAGAAAATGAACAAAAAACAATGTCAAGATTAGCAATTCGATTCTACTTCAGATCCAGAAAGAAAATGCAATAAAAATAAAATAAAATTACAATTGTGCAAATAAAACCTTATTCAATATGAAAAAGTAGCAAATCCTCAATATTCATCGTTCACTAATCAAAATTTGGTTTAACAGAATATGCAGCTCAAAAAGTCAATTCCAAAATGCACATCGCTTTTGTAATTGACATGTGTGGAATTTGTAGTTCAAAATGTTTCTTCAAAATGTGCAACATTTTTGCAATTGACATGTGTTATTACCTGCGTTGTATAATGCACATCTGGACTGCTCAACAATTGCAGAAGTAACATGTATCACTCGCCTGACTTCTGACGCATAGTCAAAGAACTCAACACATAAGGAAGTGACATTATTTCTCAATTAGCCTGTGACCCATTTTTAAGAAGCTTTTTATAAGTTATTGTTATTATCTTATTTCAATAATATATTTTCATGTTAATCTATTTTGAAGTTTTATTTTAAATTTTATAGTATGAAATCAAAAAGCTAAAGAGAAAGAAAAAATATTATTAAAAAATAATAAAAGTTCTCCATATTTTTATTACACTCACAACAGCACACCAAAATATAGCTTAAATGTTATTATTCTTTATTTATATATACATATTTCTTTTATTAACTACTTACTCAATCCGGTAAAAATATGACAATTTTTTGAATAAATTATATTTTTAACTTTCAACTATTTTTAATTAAAGTAAATAAATTATTTTAAAATATAATTTTTATTAGTTAATATAATGTTATAATAATAACATTACTCAAATAGACAAATAACTAGTTAATTTTTGCCCCTTCGACAATATATTTTTTCTAATATCTTACGTAATAAATAATTAATTTAAAGTTACTTTGTTTAAGACAATAATTGTAGTTAATATGGATTTATTTATAGTAATTTATATAGTAAATAAAAGAATTTTGATCATTATTAGCGTAAAAAGATATATTCTCAAATGATTAAAATATATAACAAGTAAATTTTTTAAATTAATTATTATTAAAAATAACAAGTTTTGTTAATAAAAAATTCTCAATTAATAAATGTGTTACTGTTAAATTTAAATAGTAAACATAATTTCCTCACATCTTTTAAAATAAAAAAATCATTTATACTTGACAATAATAAAATTAACCTCTTATATAAGATATCTTATTTTTTAAAATTTAATTACGGTGATTATTATTAGGAAAATTTATTTAAATAATACTATTTATAAAATAAATTCTAGAAATGAGATTTTTTTAAAACATATTTTTTGGCTGGGGTAATTTTTTGTCTAATCATCACCCGTGTCGTACCTACATGACCAATAGTAATTTTTTAATAATTTTTAAATAGTCTATCATTTTTTATCGTTTGATATAGCTTTATACTTTGACACGTGGTGACGTCTCTTCTAAATAAGAGCTATGTGAAGGAACGACTTGGATGATGACACGTGACGCCTTTTGGATGAGTATTGGCTGATCATGGACGATATCAACTAGTGGCTTATTTGTCAAATGGTAGAGTGCGAGACATCTGGAGTCATGACACGTTAGGTAATAACTTATGGTCATTAATTTAAATTTACTCTTTTGTCCAATTTCAAAAGATATATATATATATATATATATATATATATATAATTCTAATTTCGCAATTGTAGTTGACGTTCTTTGAGCTGAAATGAAGAAAACTGCACAAAAAATTCAGGTTAGTTAAATTGTAAATTTGTGTTTTAAATTATTTTTTATGAATTTTATTTTTTTTAAAAATTAATAATTTTTATTTTAGTTAATTAAATGAAATTGAGTTTTTTAATTAGTTGTTAAACAACAGCTGCATTAATGTGATAGAAATTTGTTTAAATAATAAAAATAAACTATAAATAATTTGTTAAAGTCATTAAAATTTAGTAAATATAATTTAAAAATTATAAATTCATGAAAACAAATATAAAAATGATGTAAAAGAATTTAATAAACATAATAAATTACGAAAATAATATGTTAATAATATAGAAAATAAAATGTTTAAGTAAATTATATAAATACGATATAAGGTTAATAAAAATTTATCAACATTTTGTATTTATCTTTTAAATAGATTAAGGTAGTGTTAAAAAAAAGAAACTGTTATGGTACAACGTTAAAACAATTTAATAATGCATATACAAATCTATTTTGTATTTTATTTTGATAATTAACTTTAAACGTAAATTTGTTGTGTTAAATTTGTTAGCAAAAAAAATATAGATTGATGCAATATTGTAAATAAATAGATATTATAAAGAAAAGTAGTTTATTATAAATTTAATATGAAGTTAAAAAATTGTAGTTATTAAAAATTATTATTAAATACGTAAAAGTAGGAAATTAAAAGAGTTAAAAAATAAAATAGTTTTATATAAAATAGGAGAATGTTGTATATGTAAAAAAAAACAGTGTTAAATTTATTGTATGTGTACTTAATTTGTTAAATTTTATTAATTTAATTTGTTGTATGTGTATTTAATTTGTTAATACAGGATGATTAATTTCATGATAATAGTATATTGAAATGGTCGAATATTCATGAGTAACGAGGGTGTTACTTTTAAAAAAAATAATAAAATGATTAAAATTGAACGTGGAATAAGTTTTGAAACATTAAAAAAAAGATTCATACAAAATTGTAATTGTCTACTAATCAAGTTATAACTAGATTAATTTTACAATTTTTAGTAGATTCAATTGACAGACAATATACCAATGTTAATATTAATATAAAAGGCTATAACATTTTATAAATTATTTTTACTATGTTTTTTATTATTATAGAGGTCAAGTTGTAAATTTTTTCAAAAATATGTATAATTATAATTTTACGTAATTAAATTTTTATTAACAAAAGTTACTAATATAAATTTTATTTTACTCTACAACAACCAAATATTTCTTATATATCTTAAATATAATATGTTTTTAATTTTAAAAAATTCAGTTATTAATTTTTATGAATTCTGAAATAAATTATTTATATAATTATTTTATATACGATATTACATATTGATTATTTCAATTGAACTATATATATTTCATTTTAATTATCATTTAAATGTCCTCTTCATATCAAATTAAAAATGATTTTATTTTAATTTTTTATCATTAAAAAATTAATAATTTATAATTTACTTGTAACATTTTTTCATTTACTAGTTAATATTTTTAAAAGTCTAGTTACCTTAAATTTTGTTTATTTCTAATAAAAATTATTCTACATTTTAAAGTTTTTTACATTACATTTTTTTCCTTTTAATTACCCCCCTAATTAATTTAAACAATAATAAGATTTATTATAAATTTTAATAATAATTCATGTTTTATTATGCATTTTTTAAGTATTTATGCATTTTACTATTTTATAAAAATCCTATACCATTAATATATTTTATTTAATAATTACAATAAATATTTCATCTATTTTTACTGACATTAAGTACAAAGTTAAACATAATTTACTCAATTAAACCTACATATATACATAAAATTCCAAATTTAATGCTAAACTACCTGTTTAAATATAACAACATTTAATCTATTTCTAAATCTAATTTTCAATCCAAAAAAAATTTCAAATATTACAATTTTTATTTTTTACATAATATTATGCAATAAATATTTAAGAACTCAAATAAAATATAAAAAATATATTTATAAAACTTCCATTTTTCACTAACCTCAGAGGACCTGATGAAAATGGACTAGCAGAAGACACGATAATGGATTGTGCACTGGCACCTGTATAAAATTTCAAAACATGTAGAAACATTTTTTTTTACAAATAAAATAAAATAAATTTATTTCACAATTTTATATTTATCTTTGAATTTCTCTAAAAATATTGCAAAATTGAAAACTTAATGAGAAAAATTTTACACCAACAATAAATAAATTTTTTGATGTCGACGTTAATGAATGGAGAGAAGGAGAAAAGGGAAGAAGAAGACTATTTGCAGCATCCATTTCGACGAAGCCACATGTTTATACTTCAGCTAGTATCGCACCAAATAAGTCGATATTTCAGAGTTGACATCGCTATGACTTAAGCATGTATTTATTTTTCTCCCTAACCGATAATTTCAAACTACTATCGTTGGGATGATACAAATTTTGTAATGACACGTAGCTACTATTGCATTTATAGGACCGATACTTTTTTTTTTATTATTTATTTATTTATCGATTACGTGTTAGCGTATAAAGCTGTATCGGACAGTAAGGAACGGTAAACTATTTAAAAATTATTAAAAAATTACTATCGGCCATGTAGATGTGTGATGACCCGGCAACAAATTACTCCAAAAAATATGTTTTAAAAAAATTCTCATTTCCAGAATTGTTTTATAAATACTATTATTTAAATGAATTTACCTTATTATTAAGTAACTTGATTATAATTTTTTTGGATGACCATCACTGTTCACAATTATTATTAGTTGCGTGTGGGGTTTGCGTCAGTGCTCGCGTCAGCGTATGTTTTGTTTGATTTCATTTTATTTTACTTTTCCAAGGACGAACAAATGAACTTGTCTTCAATAACGTATAAAAGGTAGAAGAAAAACCGAAGAGAATCGAGAAGGAAAATTATAGGGTTTCAATTTCACTTTCAGAGGAGGTTGAGGTCACGAGTTATCGTCGATTCCACCTCCAATGGGGAAAAACCAGAAATCAGGGTTAGGAAGAGCCTTGGTGAAGCAGCACAATCAAATGATTCAGCAGAGCAAGGAAAAGGGTCATTTCTACAAGAAGAAGGTTCTGGAATCCTTCACAGAGATCAGCGACATTGACGCCGTTATCGAACAAGCTGAGCACCCTCAACCTCTCTTCCCCACACCACACCGCGCTATCAATCTGTAAGTTTCCATTTTATCCATTTATGAGAAAAAAAAAGGAAAAAAAAATATTTATTATCCGATTTATTTGGACAATTTAATTTAAGTTTTCATGCATCATAACTTGCTTGTAGTTGTATGATATCTACCCTAACATGTGTTACTAAAAAGGAATTGTGTGTGTGTGGAGGTGATAACGTGAAAAAATTGTATTTTCATTGAATAGTCACTGGTTTACCTGTTATCCTTCAACTTTGTGTATAGTGAAATTTTTGTGGTTTTTGTTGGATGAGTGTAGGGATCCGAACTCTGGCACTGGCACGAGTGACATGACACCTGAAGAAATGAGGAAGCAGCAGAAGAGGGAAGAGGCGTTGCATGCTAGCAGTCTCCGTGTTCCGCGTAGGTAATTTTTTTTTTCTTTAATTGTTTGGGTAATTAGTTCTTTGCTTGCTTGATTGGTTGGTCTGAGTGAGTCCTTTTTTACTTCTACTTTAGGCCACCATGGAGTGCAGGCATGACTGTTGAGGAGCTTGATGATCATGAAAAACAAGCTTTCCTCATTTGGCGTCGCAGTCTAGCAAGGTTGGGTTCAGATTATGTCTTGTAGTTGATCAATTATCAATCTAAATTAACAGAAAACGTAAATGTGCTGCAAAAATGAAATTTGACTTAAAGTCCCAGCAAGTATAGTTTATAACCATTTCTAAAAGTGACATGTTAGAAGTAAAAGAAGATGAGGATATTTTTTTTATAGATTTTTTTAATTTATATTTGTAGCATGGTGATGTTTCAGACTCTAGGAAAATGAGAAGCTTGTCCTTACTCCTTTTGAGAAAAATCTTGATATCTGGAGACAGCTCTGGCGGGTTGTTGAGCGCAGTGATTTGGTAAGTTGATATCGTCGTCCTAGTTTGACCTAAAAAGTTTACCTTTTGGTTGATAAAGGGTTTCAAATTTCAATATGATTGCCTAATAACATTGGATAATAGTGTACTTTTTATGATAATTTTTTATCCCTAGCAAGAGAATACATAGTTTAGCAAATTATATATCTGTCATTTGCTCTTTGTTTAGTTTTGCTTTCTGCATTTAAGAGCATAAATTCTTTAAGATGTTAAGATGTTGATTTCATTCTCATTCTTTTACCAGCTTGTTATGGTTGTTGATTCACGAGACCCACTATTCTATCGCTGTCCTGATCTTGAGGTAATTCCCCCCCCCTCTTTCTCATTCTCGTTAAGGAAATGCTAGATGTGAGGTTAAAGCAACTTGACAAATATACAGATCTTAAGGTCTTTAACAAATGTAAGCGAAGATCAACAAAGTTCAAATATTGGGGAAGAGTTATTATTAGAGAGGGAGACAATATAAACTATGAAGTGGAACATGACATTCTTTTATGCAATGTATACATAATTTAACAGAAAGTAACAACATTGGGGGGTTGAATTTTTGCATCACGAAAATTAGGTTTTAGCTTCATCCCTTTGATATAATTCTTTGTACATCAAGGAACATGTGAGATGACACACCCTTCAAATGAGGATATAGAGAAGATGTTAGACACAGCATTGCTATCATTAGATATTATTTAGGCTTAGTTTATAACTAAAATGCTGTTGGTAGTAAACATAAAGAATATAATAAATGTATCAACATGGCTATATTTGTGATTTAGATGTTGGATACAACGCAGATAGATTTAAACCATTTTTGCCAGAATATAAATTTGTCTTCTTTGTTTGAAGTATTATTCCGATTACAAGTGCTTATCATGATTTATTTTGCATTGATTTTCTGTGACAGGCATATACACGGGAGGTTGATGAGCATAAACGCACATTGCTCTTGGTTAATAAGGCAGATCTCTTACCAGCTTCTGTCAGGTTTGAACTTTGTGTACATTGTTTATATTTTATTCCATTAAATCACCAGTCTTGGTTTTCCATCATGCTAAGATTCTTATTCCCTGTCCCCTTTTCATGCAGAGAGAAGTGGGTAGAGTATTTTCATGCTCATAATATTCTATACATCTTCTGGTCAGCTAAAGCTGCTTCAGCAGCTCTTGAAGGTAAAAAACTTAGGTCCCCATTGGAAGCTAATGACTCAGGGAGAAACCATAATTCAGACACGAAGATATATGACAGGGATGAGCTTCTGGCACGGTTGCAGTCAGAGGCAGAAGAGATAGTACAGATGAGGAGAAATTCCAGTTCCTCTGACACAGGGCCATCTAATGTGCAATCTTTCGGTGACAATGCTGCTGCTGGTAGTTCCTCATCAAGTAATGTGGTAGTGGGATTTGTTGGATATCCTAATGTTGGCAAAAGTTCAACTATTAATGCTCTGGTTGGTAAAAAACGGACAGGTGTCACCTCTACTCCAGGGAAGACAAAGCATTTCCAAACACTAATTATTTCTAACAAACTGACCCTTTGTGACTGTCCTGGATTAGTTTTCCCCTCTTTCTCAAGCTCAAGATATGAGATGATTGCTTGTGGAGTGTTGCCTATCAATAGGATGACACAACACAGGGAGGCTGTGCAAGTTGTAGCTGATAAAGTCCCAAGACATGTCATTGAGGAGATTTATAAGATCAGTTTACCAAAACCTAAGCCTTATGAGCCTCAATCACGCCCCCCTCTGGCATCTGAACTTTTGAGAGCATATTGTGCTTCTCGTGGATATGTTGCCTCCAGTGGACTGCCTGATGAAACTAGAGCTGCTCGTCAGATACTGAAAGATTACATTGATGGGAAGCTACCTCACTATGAATTGCCTCCTGGAATGTCAAGTGTGGAACTAGCTTTGGAAGGTTATGCAGGACTTGACTCATTCAACTTGCAAGACTCTCTTTCGTCTGGTACCAAAGATGTTGACGGTGAAGTTGGACCAGATCTTGAGCATGTATTAGATGACCTCAATTCATTTGACATGGCTAATGGACTCCCTTCAAATAAAGTTACTATTAAGACATCTGATGCATCTCATAAGCACCATAAGAAGCCGCAGATTAAAAAGGATCATTCTTGGGGAGCAGGAAATAAGAATGATGCTGACAGGATACCGGTTGCAAAATTCTTTGAGAAACCAGTAAACCCAAACCATGTGAAGGTCTAATAAGTTCAACCCAAGCTTGTATTTGTACAGCAGCCAGCACCTGATCTGTTAGGCCTAGTATGTACATTGTTAGTCTCAGATGGAATAAGTCACATTAATTTGTGTGTGATCCGTTGTAGAACTAAAACACGTAGACAGTCCCAATGAACTTTCCCCCAAAACCTAAACGGGGTAAAAAGAAAAGAAAATAGAAAAATATTGTATTTACAGTGATGAGTTATTTCTATCATTAATCTATGTGATATAAACAGATTTTGTGCATCTGGTTAGTCCAAGTTTTGAGCCAAATCTGCATTACTTTTGCGTTCGATATTGCTTTTGCTTAATATAAGCTTCGCCATGGGTTAGAGAGGCCTTGTTTTTCTGTGGCCCGTATTTCTTAAAAGAAAAATCAACCCCATTTGCGACGCAGACGTGAATGTTTTAAATAGAAATTTGGTCTGGTAGAAGACAGCATGTTCATCTAAGAAATCAATCAGTGCCATTATTAATATGGGTTTAGTGTAGTCCGGATAAGTTTCTGGGGTTGCTTGCTGAGTGGGTTAGTTCAAAATCTCGTACCTTGGATTGGATAGAAGAGAAAATTTTGACTAAGATTTGAGAGATGGAAGGAAATTGCTGATAAGGAAACAGTTAAGTACTAATAAAGGCAGAAATTCATGCTATTTCCTTTATTATATATTTTTTATGAAATTGTCCGAACAAGTATGTGTTGTAGTAGGTGCTCAAATAGATTCTTGTCTAAAAAGGGCAAAAATTGAGGATTTCCTTGGCGAAGCTGGAAATTTTTGACACAAAAATGAGGCGGATCAGGTATAAATAATTCAATCACTTCAATGACAAAAATGAGACTATACTAACATATGAGTGGACGAGTGGTTGGAGAATGTGGAAGTCTAAATCAAAAACTATACATTCTTGGATGGCAATGCTGGATCATGAATTTTTAAGAGGTGGAAGAAACTCTTCCTACAAGTTATGTCCGGAAAGTGGAGTCATTAATTGGGTGGTTCACTTAAATTTCGAACCACTCGCGATCTATTTATTTTAGTTGGTCAATGAATTGTTTTAATATCTTCAAAATTTTATATCATTACTTACAACTGTTATTATCAAGACTCCCTTGTAGATTTCTCCTAAAAGCTTTACAATTTACAAAGACAATGGTCTAAAATCCCCCATGTGTTACGTGGACCACGGAATCTCAACATTATATAAGCTATTGATTAGGTAATATTAAAATCAATAAATAAGACATAGTTTTTTGTCACCTGACAACCAAGTACATGTTAAGGTGGTCAATTAAGTCTCCTATTGGGCATTTTTAATTTGACCGCTTACAACAGGGCTAACAAAATTAATATCATGAAATAGGAAAGCTAAGAGAGACAAACAGCAAGGAAAATATACTGTATAGGAGGAAATTAAAAAAAAGGCTTCATTCATCCTCTGCTGACTTAATTACCATGTTTATATAACATCTTTTTAATTTAAAAACAATAACTTTGACATTTTTTTTTGTCGTTATAATCCATGCACAAACATAATAAAAATATATTGACAAAATTTAAGCTATAGTTATATAAATTTTTGAATGAGTTAAAATTATATATATATATATATATATATATATATATATAACACTTTAAATTAGAGGAATTTGTTATTACGGAGAAGATATATTAACAATGGACATTATATCAAATAAACAGCTTTGATTTGATATTGCTATCTTATTATACAATTTACTTTTTCTCTTGCTAATTATTTTTCTTTTCTCACTTTTCAATTCTAATAATAACAAACTCTTCTAATTTGAAATGTGTTCTTTTTTATTAGGTGTGTAAGTTAAAGAATTAAAAAAATATTTTTATTAAAAAATATTATTATATTGGTAAAAAAATTATTTATTACACATCATAAAATTTCTAATTTTATTCTTAATTTATATGCAAAATATATAAGATAGAAAAATCTTTCGACTTTCTATTAGAATATATTTTTCTTACAAGTTGCATTCAAATAATTTTTTTAAAGTAATGATTGATAAAATCTGAAGGATTTTTTTAAAGATAAGGTCATACGATGCTGATCTGGCAGGTAATTGGTCCACGTAGACCCTTCCGCGGGATTCCATTACACTTAGAAGTTAACATTATAAACATATACCAATGATATAATTGGTGGTCATGATGCCACCTGCTTAGTGTGCCAAACGGAAATTCCTTATCACACACAATAATTAATCATTAGCCAAATACATTATACATCATGAAAAAAAATTATGTAACGATATATATTTACTAAAAAATAAATAAATTTATAAATATAAAACCAAGTATTTACAAAAATAAAATAAAATTTATATAAGATAATAATTTTTTTAATTAATATATTTAATCTTTAAATTTTAAAACAAAATTAATAAAAATGTAAGTTAAAAATATAATTCTTGCAACCGAAAAAATAGTATAATTTACATATATTTTTAATTAATTTTAATCTTAGAATGTATACATGATAAATTGTGAAGAAAAATATTTCTATAAACGGTTCACTTTTTAAATATTAAACTCTCATTTATAATATAAAATTTAATTAATTATTAAAATAAATAATTAGTTAGAAAATTAAATAGTATAAATTTTGAAATTTTGTTCATAGTAAAACATTTTTTCATAGAAAAGTTTAAATTACTTTAATTGTTTCCATCAAGTATACTATATTCAAAAAAAATTCTCCCTGTAAAAACAAAATTCTATAAAAAAATAAATTGTAAAAATAGCTTTGTTTTAAAAACAGTAACAAAGAAACATGTTACTAATTTTAAAACAACCGTTAACTAAAATATGTCTATAATTAATTAATTAAAAAGTTTAAAGAATTGTTGTAATCATATCCAACTGAAAAATATAGGTTATTCAAATGCATCACAAATAATAGTAATAAATCATTAACCATGCATTTTTAGCTTTTTTAATGTGCATTGGATAATAAGTTACATGATAGATTATTGCTATCACTCCCTCTACAATTGATGTGGATTGAGAAAGATAAACTACATACATAATTTTCAAGAGAAAGTGGCCATGATTCATGTTTACTCAATTTAATTTGGTCATTGTTTTAAGGTTTTTAAATGAAATAAATTTTTTGAAATTTCTATTTTTATTATAAATATAGTTAAATAAAATGAATATACTTTGATTTGTTCTATTTATTTTTATAATCTTTTAAAATATTACTATTTTATGAATCTCAAAATTGATTTAGAAAAAAACTGATTTATATTATTGTTATTATAATTTTTTAGATTATATATATTTTTTATTGGAGACAATATTTTTCGTGTTAAGATTATTATTATGAACAATAAAACTTTTTTTAAATATTTATTTTAAAAGATTATTTAAAAATATTTATATTTAAACAATAAATTATAATGTGTTTTACTGTTTTTTTTTAATATCTGCATATCTTTTAAATTTTGTTAATACAAAATTTTCAAAACAATGTTACTGATTAAAAGTATTTTTAAAAACTCATAAACAACTAACAAAAAAAACCTGTTGGTTTATAAATATGCTTCCAAACCTCAAACATAATTTTTATAAGATAAGTGAAAAGTATATATATTTTTTGGAACATGTACATTTTAAAAAGTCGTAGATTAAACTGTGTTTTTTTTTTTTCACTTATTCTCAAAATTGATTTTACACTCATGTTTCCTAAAAAATGTTTTTTTTTAATTTTCCAGCCTTAAAAATCATATAATTTATGCATTTTTTATTTCTCTTAAAAAATTTAAATATACTAATTTTCATGAAAAGAAAGTAAAAATATAAGTTATATTTTAAAAAATAAAAAATACATTTATTTTTTTAATTTAATTTGATCTATTTTATATTAGATGTTATTGAGACACTTTTTTGTTTTTAAATTATTATTTTTACTTTAAAATATAATGAAAGTATTAATTATAATTTTAAATATGTCTTTATTTGCTTAAAATAATTTGTTAATTAACTATCATAATAATTTTAATAGTATTACTCTAAAAAATTCTTATCAAGTAAACATTACAATAACTTCAATACTTTTGGCAAAAATATTATAGAAATATTAATTTACTTTATCTTAATAATTAATAAAATTGATAATTTTTTTCAGATTCATGTATTAATACAAAATGTTATTTAAAATGAGATATAGAAAGTACTTACTAAAAAATAAAAAAATAAAAAATACTAACTGCTAATAAAAAATTTGTGACTTTATTTTTTGTTAAATTTTATTATCTTTATTTATAATCTATGCAAAGACAGAAATGAAATTATGGAATCAGGTGCTGGTTGATGAAAAAAAGCATGCACACACAACCCAATACAACACGCATTAAAGTTAAAAAACTGGGATTCAAAAAACTTGAATAGCGCCTGCTTTCCCTTTGCTCTTTCTAACTGCGCCGTTAAATAAACCGCTCTCTCTCTCTGTCCAAGGTTGCCAAAAGCCAAGTCTCCTTACAATTAGGAACCAGCCATCACCGTTAAATTATTTAAGCAACCTCCGGTTATCGCGTTCTCCGCCGCCGCCGCCACCGCCACGCCCTAACTAGTTCATTTCGTTACCCCTCCCTTCTTTTCTAGAAAAAAAAAAAAAAGGAATATGCATAGAAACATTTTTTATATATAAATATTAAAAAAACAAAAAGGCAAAAAATAAAATCTAGAGAGAGAAAGACACAACACCTTCAACTCAGCCTCAGAGAAAGTGATTGATTTTTTATTTTATTTTTAATTTTATCTTTTTTCCTTTTCCCCTTTGGGGTTACGAGGGTGTGTTTTTGTTGTGCCTTTGAGATTGTCTCCGTTCCCGTTTCATTCTTCGACCGCTTCTTTTCTTTTCTTTTCTCTGAGTTTCAACTTTCAACACAGGAGAGAGAGAGAGAGAGAGAGAAAACCTAGACTCTTTGCTGGTTGCTGTTTCTGAAAATTTGCTTGTTGTGGATTTTTGTCTTCCAATTGAATAATTGTTTGAGCTGAGGCTTTTCAATTGCGAACATTGAGTTTATTTGTTGGTTGGTTGCGCGTGTTATCGAAGGAAGCGAGTTCGTTTGAGGCGTTTTGATTCCGCGAAACGAATCGAAATGTTGGTTCGGAATGCGATTTTGCTTCAATTCTAGCTCCGATCTTTCGATATTGCTCGAATCTTAGGGTTGAAGCAATGGATGTCGATTCCTCGATGGTGCCGGAGGCCGATCACGATCCGACCACACAGAACCACGCCGCCTCTGCTCCGGCGCCGGTTCCGACAGAGGGAGAGCAGCTGGCGGAGCCGCCGTCGTGCGGTGGCGGATCTCCGACGCAGCCGCCGGTGCAGCAACAGCAGGCGTCTGCTCCGGTGCAGCAGAGTCCGGTGGTTGGGCCCAGGCTGGCGCCAACATACACTGTGGTGAATGCAATTTTGGAGAAGAAAGAGGACGGCCCGGGGCCGAGGTGTGGCCACACGTTGACGGCGGTGGCGGCTGTTGGAGAGGAGGGGACGCCTGGGTACATTGGTCCGAGGCTGATATTGTTCGGTGGTGCCACTGCTCTTGAAGGCAATTCTGCGGCTTCAGGGACTCCTTCGTCTGCTGGAAATGCTGGCATACGTATGTATTTAGCTATCGTGCTGTATTTTTGCTAGTATATGGTAACGTAAAATGCCTTGGGATTTTGTGGTCAAGTCTTTTGAGTTTTGGTAAATGTTAATTTAGTTTGATAACTATACGTTTTGCATACTTGATGTATTTTAATGTTGAATTAAATTGTTGCTGCACACACAGGCTGGCTTTTGATTTTGTTGAGGTCTAGTTATTGGTTTTTACAGCTGTTTAAATTCAAAGATCCCTAATTGCGTTGTTGTTTTAGCCCTTAGGTCATGTAAATGTATAGATGGCAATGAATTGTTATTCTTTAGCCTGTTCAATTTTCGTGGCATCCTTTTGCCTTTGGTGCTTATGAGCTTGATGTTTCTTGTCATGGGAACTAGGGCTTTCATAAATCTAGCTTTGTTGATCAAGGTTTTAAAAATGTTGGTTGTGGTTGTGTTGCTGTTGCAATCATGTTGTCATTGCAGACAGATGCAGTCTGATGTGATTGTGGCAGGCTGCCACTGCTGAGATGTTGTAGCTGCATCATGTGAAGCGGTTCACATTTTAAATTCTTCTTGTTATTTTATTTTTTGGATAGAACTTGGCTTTGTTGATTATTACAGCTCCATACCAATTCACTTTGGCGGATGAGGTAGATTGGAATAGAAATGAATGGAAATGGCATTCATGATTGTTCAGTTGTTGGATATTTTAACTTACAAAAACAACAACCAAGCCTTATCCCATTGATGCCATAAGCTACATGGACCAAATAACATCACAATTCACAGCACTTTATCAAAAACTAAAATTTTTGTAAATCCATTTAGATTAAAGCTTTTAATGTTTTTTTTTTCTAAATTTTTCTTGGATCTTTCTTTACTGCTTTTAATTAACCTATCTTCAATTTGATTTACTTTTCACATTAGGCCTTTGTTGTTCTTTTTCTCACATGATCAAACCAACATAGACTAGTTTATCTCGTATTCTACTCATTAAGTGCTACTCTAGCTTTCTCCCAAATATTTCATTCCTAATCAAATACAAGTGTGTCTGATGCAATTAAATGGAATGAATCAAGTATTTACATCACAACTTTGTTTCTATTTTATGATGGGTTGTTAATTGGAATTTCATAAAATTTTATTTAAAAGCCCTCCTTTTACTTTACTTTTTCCCTATTTTTGGAGGGAACAATTAGCCAAGGAGAGATACATTGTAGGGAACACTTCATTCTGTTTGACTTTTAGTATATAATGCATCCAAAAGATGGGATTGAATTCCTGATGACTTGATTGTAAAGCTTTGGTACCTTGTCGAGAGCCAACCATTCTAAAAGCCCTTAGGTGGAGGGTAAAAAATGTTGCAATGAATTTGGACTAGCCTTTAGTGTATTATTATTTTTTTGGTTATCATTTATAACAAACCATATTAAGTGACATCTTTGGTTCAGTGGTATAAGGACCCCTTTTTTTCACTTTAGAAAGAATATTATAGTTCAGTTTATGTTGTGTAGAGTATTCATTTCAATTGATTGTAAATAAGTAGCAGTTGTTGAAAATAACAATGCATTCTTGTTTCCACATTATTTCCATGCCTTTGATTACAACTTATAATATATCATGTTTTTGTTCAATTGAAGCCCCAGATGGTTTTTGTTCTAATTCTTCAAATAAGTCATCAAAGTAGGAAAATGTTCATAACTCTATTATTTGTGGTGCGTACCAGTGTTGGTAACTGAATACTTAAAGGTTTATTTTTGTGCAAACATTATTAATAATTTGGGAATTGGCTACATCTCCTCACCTTCCTGTGAGGAATGGAACAAAATAAACAATAATTTAGATTTATACACTTTTCCTTTTTCGGAAGAGTTGATAATTGGATCTAGCGAGCTTCTTTTGTAAACAAAATGACATGTATTATAGCTTTAATAACTGAGTCTTATAGTGTTCATGCTTGAAACTTATCATGTTATAATGTTATATCATTTGCTTTGCAGGTTTAGCGGGTGCCACAGCTGATGTTCACTGTTATGATGTCTTGACTAATAAATGGTCTAGGTGAGCTTAGAATTAGGTTATTTCTTTCTCACCTCCATTAAGACTAATGCTTGTATAGACCTGCATACTTTACATCAGTGCTTATAAGGGAAATATCATGCAGGATAACTCCCTTTGGAGAACCTCCAACTCCAAGAGCTGCTCATGTGGCAACTGCTGTGGGAACTATGGTGGTTATTCAGGTAGCATAGAGAATATCTTATAGTTTATTGTAATGTTGGTGAACTGATTTCCTTTCTTTAAATGATTAGTTTAGTTCTGAGTGGAATATTGCCTTGTTACACAGGGTGGCATTGGTCCTGCTGGTTTGTCAGCAGAGGACCTTCATGTTCTTGATCTCACTCAGCAATGGCCACGCTGGCATAGGTTCGACTTGTAACCTATGTATTTTTTTCCTTAATGACTTGATGTTTCCAATATTATTTATCTTATCTAATCTAGTGGGTTCTGATTTTTTTATGTAGAGTGTCTGTTCAGGGCCCTGGACCTGGGCCACGCTATGGACATGTAATGGCTTTGGTGGGGCAGAGGTATCTAATGGCAATTGGAGGCAATGATGGTAACTACCCAAATGCCGTCCCTTATGGAGTGTGTGCCTTGGTTGTTTTTTTGTGTGAAAATTTTTTGAACATCACACTACTTGGTCTTTGCTTTCCAGGAAAGAGGCCTTTGGCGGATGTATGGGCCTTGGACACAGCTGCTAAGCCTTATGAATGGCGAAAGTTAGAACCAGAAGGAGAGGGACCACCTCCATGCATGTATACTTCTGTCTCCATGAATTCTACCTTTCTTTACTGATATTTTGACATCACTGTGCATATCAATTTAAAATTCTTATGAACAACAATAGGGTTTGTGTACCTTTTAGCCTTTGGCATCTTGAAACAGGTTGTGGAGAGTGTCACACTTATTATTGCACTAACCAAATTATTGAGTGGTTGGATTTAACACTTCATTCCAATTAGAGTTTATGTTAATTGGTTTAATTGATATGTTTTAATGGATTTAATTTCGTTGTTAAATTTCTTTCATATTGTTTATTGCATTTTTTTTTATTTTAACTATTTTCATGACAAGTATTGGATTTCTTTTTCATTGATCTTTTTCTCCCCCCATTTTTTTCTTTAAATAAATTTGACTATATTTTTACAAAAATTAATGCAAGTCAAATTGTCTGAAATTCTCATTATTTCTTCAGTGGGTAGTTATAATATCCATTGGTTTACTATTACTTTGGGAAATTGGACTGTTGTAAGTTTGTGATTGCTTTATTCTTTGTGAGCATTGTGATTATAGAGTAGGCTCACCTTTGTTTTCTTGCGGTGCATGAAAACTTGACTTACACTGCAGCTTGAAGCTCACCTTAATTTGGCTGTTTTGATTAGCATAAATGTTACTGTTTTCTTGAATGAGGTTATCTCCTGATTGCTTTATTTTTGTCAGCACAAAGAGGGTACTTTAATTATTTCTACTTTGAAGATGTAAATAAATAATTCTTTGGAGTGTAGGCTTACCTTTCCTTGTGTTTATGAAGTTGGCTATCATCTAGCAACTTGTCATGATGTGATTTGTCATTTTTCCATTTAATTTTGACTAGGTATGCAACTGCAAGTGCACGCTCCGATGGGCTTCTTCTACTTTGTGGAGGGAGAGATGCTAATAGTGTTGTGAGTTATCAATTCATTCTGTTGGTTGATTTTCTTGGGAAGCTTGTAATTTGTGTCTAGTACTTTACCAGAGTTTATATATATCCCTTTCTCTGCATTTCCTTGCACATGACACTCTGATAGGGGTCTATGTGGAATTAATTATTTTTGCTGAATCTTTAAAAAGAAAAGGAGGCTTTGTAAAATTGAGAAATAAGTAAAACCACTATGACCATCTTCAAGGGCTGGAAAAATACCAAGACAAAACAAAACATTCTGGGAAACTAGGATTACAAAACAATTTCACCTCGTTGCAGATCAGAAAGGTCCTTGAGATGTCCTGGTCTGAATTTTAGAGAAAAGCTTTGAACATAAGCCTATCTGAAAGCATAGTTGGTGTGCATTCCATTTTAACCAAATATGTCAGAAAATGACAACAACTGCTAGCTGCCTCTAAATTTTAGCCTCCTTGCTTAGACAACAAAACCTATTAAAAAACCGACAGATTTTCTCCAAACTAGAGCTGCACCCCCAATTCTCATAAAATATCCCCCAAAGGTTACTCATAGAATGATAGCCTGAGCCTGACAGTGCAGAAATACTTGTTCCTGTTTCCATGCTTGAGTTGAAAAGTTAAGGGTGTGTGCAGTGTCATTTGAAGCAAATATCTTAGTACTAGAGTACTTTTTGAGTTATTGGGTGTTGAACTTCCAGCAGCTTTGCCAATTCCTTTAGCTGGGTGTACCTGCATGTAAAAATCAACTATTTATAGATGGCATTCATAGTTATGGTCATTTTATGTTGAGTTCAAATGTCCACAGGCAATCCTATCAAATGTCTGCTTTCTGTTCGTAGGCCTATTCTTATACAGAATAACTCTAATTGATATTCCTATTTTACTTGTGAATTGTTTCCTCCTATGCTTTGTAGAAATGTTTCATTTTACCACTTATGTTTGCAGCCATTGGCAAGTGCATATGGACTTGCTAAACATAGAGATGGTCGTTGGGAATGGGCAATTGCCCCAGGTGTCTCACCATCACCCAGATATCAGCATGCAGCGGTTGGATTCAGTTTCTTTTGTTTTATTCTAAATTTTTCTTAGTTGAGTATACATTCAGGATCATGCTTAATTTAATGATTCTAGGTGTTTGTTAATGCAAGGCTCCATGTGTCTGGTGGGGCACTTGGTGGAGGACGGATGGTTGAAGACTCATCGAGTGTTGCAGGTGCTGATCACAGCATAGCTTAATTTTTTTGTTTGTTTACTGGTTTTTTAGCAATGACTCATCAAGTGTTCTCTATCTCTCTATCTTTGGCTTCCACTCTTCTGTATTTGTGTCTACGTATTTCTTTCTTAGCTTTTGTTTGGGAAATAAAGGAACAAAATATTTTTGTCCCCTCCCCAAATTCTTAGTTTTTTTTGTCAATGGTCACTTTCTTGTATATGGAGGCAACATTTAGTGCTATTCCAACTTATGCGGTATTTTTGGTTTTTTGGCTGTTTGTAGTATTGGACACTGCTGCCGGTGTTTGGTGTGATACAAAATCTGTTGTTACCAGTCCAAGAACTGGTAGATACAGTGCTGATGCTGCAGGAGGAGATGCTGCAGTTGAGTTGACTAGGCGTTGTAGGCATGCAGCTGCTGCTGTTGGTGACCTAATTTTTATTTATGGTGGTTTACGGGGGGGTAAGTCATTAAGTATAACTCTGTGGGTTCATCCTACTGGATTTTATTTCCTTTTTGCTTGATATCATATGATATTTTTATCAATGTAGTTATGGCTATTCAGGTAATTACTACGTCAAAATTCTTTCCATTCTTTCAATAATTTTGGTTGAATTGCTTTTCTTTTTTCTTTTGGTGGACTTGGTTGAATAGGGACTTTTGAATCTGGATGTGAATTCGGTATCTATTTATTTAAACTGGTGTAAATGGTAAAATGTATTGATACCTTTCATCTATACTAGAAGTTTCAGGAGACAGAAATTGATTATAGAATGAATCAATTGGTATAATAGCCTTGGCTATGTTGTTGAGAATATACATGTTTATGTTAGAATTCAATTGCAAGGTATAGGATTTGAGTACAACTGGAAGAATGAGATTCTGGTGTGGTGTGGGGTTTATGAGACCTTAGACTCTCTAATTACAATGATTAACTTTTGTGGTGTGATTCTTCCAAGTTTCTTATTAGTTTAACTAGATGCTTCAAGGAACAATAGAATTGAAACAAGCACAGCTAGACTCAAAAAGATAATCCTGGGGTGCACCAATCAGCTAGGTCAATTTAGGCTGCTATGACATTGAATGAACAACCATGAGAGGAAATTCGAATATTCTGAGTTAGTTAATATTTTCTTTTTCTCACACAAATAGTAGTCTGTTAGTGATCTAGGATTATAGATTTAATTTGACTAAGATTTCTTTTATCCATTTTCTTTAACAACCAAGGTGTGTTTTTGCATTTCATCAACTGGATCACAATTTTTCCTCTATTACCATCATTCCATGAAAATGGTCATTTCATCTCTCTTGATCTTGCAAGCTGAAATGTCTGGTTTCATCTGGAATATTTACTAGCTTAATGTTCTAATTATTATTTTTGTAAATATATACTTTGGGATTTTACTGTGTGATGATCCAATCAATTCATCACTTTAACAGCTGACTGACTATAATGTGTTGTGTTTATGCTTCAGGAGTCTTGTTGGACGACCTACTTGTTGCTGAAGATCTTGCTGCTGCTGAAACAACAGCTGCTGCTTCACATGCTGCTGCAGCAGCTGCTGCATCGAATGTACAAGCAGGACGCTTACCTGGACGATATGGATTTGTTGATGATACCACGAGGCAAACAATGCCTGAAGCAGCTGCTGATGGGTCTGTTGTTTTGGGAAATCCAGTTGCACCCCCAATGAATGGAGACATCTATACTGATATCAGCACTGAAAATGCCATGCTTCAGGGACCTCGGTAAGATAACTATTTTCATTCTCATTGGGCTAAGTATTTAGCATTACTTGTTTGGCTTTATTCACCTAAAGGACCTTGAACAGGAGAACTGCCAAAGGAGTCGAGTATCTGGTTGAAGCATCTGCTGCAGAAGCTGAAGCTATCAGTGCTGCACTAGCTGCTGCCAAGGCACGACAAGAAAATGGAGAAGTTGAATTACCTGACAGAGACCGTGGGGCTGAGGCTACCCCAAGCGGGAAACAAACATCTTCCTTGATTAAACCCGATTCTGCAGGCTCAAATAACATCACTCCTGGTGGTGTTAGGCTGCATCATAGAGCTGTGTGTAAACTTTTTCATTACCAGGAAAAAATTATGCAGTCAATAAGTTTCCATGAAATATTTAGTCATTTTTTTATTCTGTATTGAATTTTCTCCAGGTGGTTGTTGCTGCAGAGACTGGTGGAGCATTAGGTGGCATGGTTAGACAGCTTTCAATAGATCAATTTGAAAATGAAGGCAGGCGGGTCAGTTATGGGACTCCAGAAAATGCAACTGCTGCCAGGAAATTATTAGATCGGCAAATGTCTATCAATAGTGTGCCGAAAAAGGTGCAGATTCATCTCTACAACTAGTTATCAAACAGGCACAGGAATAATAGTTATTCATAGTTTCATGTTAATAATGTTAGATAAATACTTTGTAGTTTGTACATTATTACTTGGTCATGTTTATTGACCTTTCTTCATTGCCATTGCTTACTCCATCTTGCATCATACTTTTCTGATTATTATATTTTGAGAGTTTGTCTCATGTTGAATCATGGTTTACATTTATATCCCCTAGTTGTCTTTATCATACCTCTTCTGTTGCATTACTAAGCATGCTTGCTTTGTCTTATATTCAGATTTACTTTAGTTTTTCAAGTAGTTTCCTCACCTTCTTTATAGGTCATTGCACACCTCTTAAAACCTCGTGGATGGAAACCACCAGTACGCCGGCAATTTTTCTTAGATTGTAATGAAATTGCTGATCTTTGTGATAGTGCTGAGCGGATATTTTCAAGTGAACCAAGTGTCTTACAACTTAGGGCACCAATTAAAATATTTGGTGATCTACATGGACAGTTTGGTGATCTCATGCGTCTTTTTGATGAGTATGGTGCACCATCAACTGCTGGTGACATTGCGTAAGTTTCATAGCTCTCGTTGATGGTTTTATTTGTGAACAATTGATATTATGTTGTGTGCCTATTAGGGTGCATTAGGGGTGACTTTCCAATTGGCGATGCTGGGTCAATATGAATAAGATGTCAAATTAAAACCACAACCAGCTTTTATATTTATGCCAGTTTTGTTTTTATATGCCTGGTACACTGTTGAGATCTTATTTTTACCAATTTTTTGATTAATTATCCAACATATACATTTATAGATGTCTTATTCTTTTTCAAAAATTTTTTACCTCCTCTTTTCTTCACTCATTTACCTGTCTGATCTACCATGACAATGTAGTTCTTATCTGTGCATTGTAATCTATCTAGTATGCCTAGCTAGCATGGAAGTGCATGATTCATGTATTACCTTATTGGAATGATATAATGTGTTTTCTTAGATTTTTAATTTTATATTTAAACTATGATCTTAAGCTGTTTGTATTGGATGCCCTAGCTTACAATATTGATTGTTTCTGTGGCTAACTAAACAAGTAAATTGTTATGTAAATATGAAAGTTTACAGCTACACATGGAACAAAAAAGGGAGTAAAAGAATCTGAAATTTTTAATACTGAAAGATTTCTTGCAATGATTGATTGATGGATGGTAATGATGGTGTTGCACCAGAATCAAATTAGTTGCATTTAGAAGTGGAGTGTTAAGAAATGTGATCTATTATTGTGTGATTTGTATATTTTCCAAACACGTGCTTGGGTTTTTATGAAATTTTTCTTGCTTCATACACAAGCACTAGCTTTAGTTCACCCTAAGTAAAGGTTATAATTGTCCCTTTGTCATAGTTTTAGTATAAATAGGGGTGTGTTTGATTAATATTTTTAGTACAACTATTCAGTCTTGTTAGTAAAATATGTTTTCTTTTGTTTCCTCTCTCTCTTCCCTTTTACCATCTAATCGATAAAATATTGACAGTGCTATTATAATCTAGTGATTCAGGCATTTGATATTTTCTTTTGCTAATTTTGTATAAATGACTGTCAGATATATCGATTATCTATTCCTAGGAGATTATGTTGATCGGGGACAGCACAGCTTAGAAACTATCACCCTTCTTCTTGCTCTGAAGGTACTCTTGATCCTTTAGGTTGTCTTTCTACGTTTCTATCAAGTTAATCGCCTCAGAATTATGTATGATTTTGTGAATATTGCAGGTTGAGTATCCCAACAATGTGCATTTAATACGTGGAAACCATGAAGCTGCCGATATCAATGCCCTTTTTGGTTTCCGAATTGAGTGCATTGAGAGGATGGTAAGGAATTTCATGTACCTGAAATTTTTTCTTGTTTATATTGTGTTCAGTAACCAATCATGTAAGTTGTTGACCAGGGTGAGAGAGATGGAATTTGGACATGGCATCGGATAAACAGGCTGTTTAATTGGCTTCCTCTAGCAGCGCTAATTGAGAAAAAAATTATTTGCATGCATGGAGGTATTGGCCGTTCGATAAATCATGTGGAACAGATTGAAAACATTCAGCGTCCAATACCAATGGAAGCAGGATCAATTGTGCTTATGGATCTATTGTGGTTAGTGCCTTTATGTTCCATTGCATGTTTATGACTGTACTTGTGCTATTGTTGATAATAACATCACAAAATGTTTCTAGGTCTGATCCTACAGAGAATGACAGTGTGGAAGGACTGCGACCCAATGCTAGAGGTCCTGGATTAGTTACTTTTGGGGTCAGTGCTCCTTACCTTTTGTCATTTTGCAAATAATTTCAGTTTTCTATTGTTTTGGTTGTGTTTCTAGATGAAAAAAAATAGGTAACATATATGAATATGGCAGTAGTGGTTTTTTGTGATAGAATTTGATAATTTAGAATGCTCGTATATTTTATTCATTAGTCTAGAAACCCTTGGCAGCGATGTGTTTCTAATATTGGATTTTGAAGCATCCTTTGAAACTTGAAATTAATTGAAGAGTGTTTATGCTTTTAACTTTTGCAAGTGTAGCATGTATGTATTAGATATAATTATATTTGAAAGGTGGGTGTATAGATTTAAATTTGAGATATCATGATGAAACTGATTAATGCTGGCACATTCTTATTTATCTCTTTCCCGTACTATTAAGGCTGGTACTTGGTATTCCCACTAATTTGAAAGTTGTCTCCGCGATTAATGTTATATCAATTATAAATAATAGGCTTATACTTTCTCTGTTTTAAATTATGTTTAACCGATAACCTTGTTCATATGTTCTCATGCACACTTTGGTACTTCAGCCTGACCGGGTCATGGAATTTTGCAACAACAATGATCTTCAGCTGATCGTTCGTGCACATGAATGCGTGATGGATGGGTTTGAGCGTTTTGCCCAGGGACATCTGATCACACTCTTCTCGGCTACAAATTACTGTGGTATGTCTTACTGCCTTCTGCATTGCACTTTCCTCCTTTGATCAAGTTCCACTTTAATTTTGTACTTATTCCAATAGGTACGGCAAATAATGCTGGAGCAATATTAGTTTTGGGTAGAGACCTTGTAGTGGTTCCTAAACTAATTCATCCATTACCACCTGCAATTTCTTCACCAGAAACATCACCTGAACGTCATATTGAAGATACATGGATGCAGGTAGTCCTTCAAATATTCCATTAAATAGTTGTGTGTAATAGTTAGCACTTAAACTATCAAATACACACGACACGAGCACATTTAAGTTAATTTTGAGCTGATGTCATTTCACATTACTATGGGCTTTTATTGAAAAATACATGTTATTTATACGTACAGGAGTTGAATGCTAATAGACCACCAACACCAACTAGAGGCCGTCCTCCAGTAACGAACGACCGAGGTTCACTCGCTTGGATATAGTGATCATTAAGAATGTCCGTAATATTTATGCCTCACTGGCTCGTGCTATCAGCCTTGTTTTTAGTGTTGTGTATATAGCATGATGCCATTTACGGGAATCTCCGAACCTGTGATCTTAATCCCTGCAGAAAGCTTGGCTTTCTTAGTTTTGGTTCTCGCCACTTAATCAGCAGGCCTTGATAAGATACAAGTTCGACATGCAAGGTTGGTAGCCACTGCTAGGTTTACTTTGACCAAGCTAGAAGTTGCAAATCGGGTTCGCCCACCAGTTGTAAATTGAGCATAGGTTACGAAGTCAACGTTATGGTTCTGTCGTGAAAGCTATTTTTGTCATCAATTCTTACATATTTTTCACTTTGCCTTTAGGCTATTGTTGGGATTTTGTTAATCAAGAGGACAGTAGGGTTTTTCTAAATGTGATGGTGAGATATATAAATCAGAAATCTTGGAAGTCCTTGTATTATAGGTGTTGCCCGGTAATTTTCATCTTTGTACAATTAATTTTTGTGTGGATCAATATTCTCTGACGAAGAATATGTGAATTTTGATAATAGATTTTGTATTTTGCGTTGTGCTGCAAATGGCTTGCGGGATTGAATTCGTTTTTGCTTCCAGTTGCTTCTGCCAGCCTTTCTACGAGGTTTTAACTCTGAAATCATAGCAATTATCTGCATGACCCAAAAGTAATAGAAAAGAAATGCAAGCCAAAGTCTTGTACATACTGCTCAGTTTTTTATTTGACTTTGAGATGCACGAATGAAATGGTCGTTGTCCCCAAATCAGGATCAAATTCTCCGTAAACCTATGTCTAACCTAAAATCTTCCTTGCCTCGCTGCTAATGACCAGTAAATATAGGTTCCTTTTTTCAGTCTAATAATTCCTATGTATGAGTAGTGGGATATTCTTTCGGTGGAGGTCCACATTCCATTAACATGCCTCGTCTGACCCGGTGATAAGTATGCTTACAAGTATCAAACTGTTACAAAGGATAGCCTGCAACAATAAGTTCTCTCGGAATTCCTCGTCATTAATTGCTGCGATCCTCTGACAATGCAGAACCTCTAACCTCTTTTTACAGGCCTCTGAACGTAGGATTTGTTCGGATCTTCTGTCTTCAGCTTCGGTGGACGAATTTCTCCTTTCTTATTCTGCAGACATACAAAATGGTTATCAGTTAAGCAATTATTATCTTTTGTTCCAATATATGTTCCTAAAGGAATAGTTACTTATATGAAGAACAGCAAGCATAGTATCTCACCTTCTTTCCACCCTTCATAAAATCTCTCCAACTGGATACCTGATAATGAAGAATCGGGTTAATTTATCCATTTTTCTTTATGATAAATATTCTTTCTAATATGAAAAAAAAATAAAAATGCACGGCAACAAAGTAGCTCAGTAAGGAGGTAAGACACATGAAAGAATGTCCCTACTCATCATTCATATTATTATTTAAACAACAGATGAAAAGCATGAGAATGATTAAACAGCTTCTGAGTGAGTAGGTCAAAGATAAAAACTGATGACCCAGTGCCCAAGGCTCCTAAGATTTATGCAGTTTCCCCTATGAGAAAAGGGGCTGCTCATGCAGCTGTGACTAAAACTAGTAATCACTCCCTCAGGCAGAAGGATCACCCTCTAAAATTTTAAGAGGTGTGCTGTAACAAGAATCATTGATACAAGTTGAAGTCATTAAATTATTTATCTATATAAAAAAAATGATATAAATTTGATGAACCCACAGAACTGGATAACAAACTTATATTATCCAAGATGCATAGGCCAAATGCCCCAGGTATTACCGCCTAGGTTAGTAAGTATGAGAATATCACGAAATTGAACCAGCCTTTGCCAACTGTAAAGAGCAGATTAGTTTGCAAGGATTCATCGGAGTTCCTAACAAAGTTGCGTGTCTTCTGTTCAAATATTTTACTTAAATAAATATTTATCTCGTTTCTTTATTATCTCCTGATGTGCTGCTGTTGCACTGGCACTAGACTTCAATGCAGATAATCAAAAAGAACATGTAGAACATAAACAAATGTTTTGGCCGTATTCTGGAACACTTTATAGATTAATTATATATTTCACAGGCACAAACTGCAACAAAAAATTGCTTTTAGCCAAAGATTCATAAACATAAATTGCAGTTTGTTGCATAGAATGAAGTAATAGAAAACTAACCCTCTGTTCTCTTGTTCCTTCCCATTCCTCCTCATGTTCACGCTTTCTTTTCCACATTTCTTTCTGTTCCTCTTCATCTCTTTTTAATCTGCCTTCCTCCTCTGATATCTACATAATATTGAATACGCTAAAAGATATTAGTAGTCTCCAACTGATTTTGCTGTCTTATCAAAGGCACCAAAATTTGGAAAAAAAATTGTGTGGGTGAGTGAGTCGCAGGGGCTACTTAGAGCGTACCCTCATTTGCATTTTTCTTCTCCTCCACTCTTGTTCTGTTAATAGTTCACGAACTTTGACTTTGAGCTCCTGCTGGAACTCCTCTGACTGTTCATATTGTTTATCATATTTTCCCTGAGACAAACAAAATGATCTTTTAAAAAGCAAGAATATTTTGTCTCTTTAATTATAGTAATATACTATGTACGCAATATCAAAGTCTGGTAATCTCAGCATTCCATGTGCATTCAGACAACGGAGGCACAAGTCAGACACAGCCAAAAAGAAACACACACACAAGGGGGCAAGGAGATTATTCTAAAATTCTAGGTTGTACAGTCTGGTGTGAGCAAGATCTTAAAATTACATAAGAACCCAGTACTATTATATATACCTCGTCAACCAAAGATTTAATTTTTGAAGCTGTATCTTTCTTCAGCTTCTTCTTCCTCTTTGCTCTTAGTTCTTCTGTAGTCCACATCAATGAAAAAAAGTTAGTTTCATTTCATTAATATATCCATTGGGAGTAAATCACAACACTCAGCAGAGACAGGATCAATAATGACCCTTTATCATTAACCGAGTGCTAAAAATATGAAGAAAATGGAGGAAAAAAAATGGTGAAAATTAGAATGATATAATGATAGTAAACAAAATCATTCACATTAACTTCCTTTAAAGTCCAAGATACAGCCTTTAATGGAAAGAATAAACCTTTAAGACATGCGATAACCAGATGCCAAGTACAAAAAACAAATATACACTAACCTTTTGCTGAATTAACTTGGCTAAGAAGATAATCTCTTTCATTTTGATCGAGTAATAATTGTTGGGCTTTCGCTAATGCTGCATTCCAGTGAATAGCACAGCAAACATTTAAAAAAGAAATATATATATATATATATATATATATATGTATATATAAACTTTCACATTTACCCTCAAGCAGCAAAACTTATCATCATAATTGATATCTACTATTTAATATGTTAAAAAAAATACATGCTATTTAACATCAAAATGTTAGAAATTCCATACAAAATAAATCAATGTGATCACACAGACTCAAATAGGATCCTGCTTCCTGACTCTTCAAGATTGTAGTTTTAGCCAGCAAGGGATAGATATCAAACAAAATAGCAGTTGAACGATATGCAATACCCAGTGTAACTGTAAATTATCTAATATTGCTTGGGGCGGTGTCCACCCACTAATGTAAAGATTGGGCGGGGAGAGGTTATTTCGACAAAAGAGAATTATTTTTTTTTTTATTGAGTTCCAGGCTGATGCATCAATGTATAGGATTGATATATGAAAATAACAATATTAATGGATAGGTTAAGCTGAAGTTATTTAGAACAGTATCTAATACTGAACAGTTTAGTACAAAAGTTTGTTTAATAAATTCATATCAGTTTCCAAGAGATGTATCAATCATAGTAGTCAATAGTGACTGCTATCGTGGAGGAGTGGAGCGGCAGGTTGCCACTATGAGTAGCTTGTAGCGTCGCATTTCAGTGGAGCAGCCAAATCGGAGGAGGGAAGAGGGGGGGGGGGGGAGGAATCACAGCCATAGTGGCTGCAATTTCATTCTTGGAATGTTGGATGACTTTAAATGAGGGTAATCTTGGGATTCATCCTTTTTAACATTTCTAATATCTTCTTCGTTGTGAGCCATAAGTTTTCATTTTCATCTCTCAATTTTCTCTAGTTCGTTCGTTCCCATCTTTGTTCTCTGCGACACTCTCTTGCTTACGGTGCTCTTCATCTTCAACGAGACTTCTGATGCAACACAGTTCAACTCCGGCAAAGCTTCCGACATGATCCAGACATTTCCGGTAATTTTCTTTATCTTTGACAAAACTTTCAGCAAACTTGCATATTTTCCAATGACTGACCAATTCTCTGTTTTCTTATTTCTTTATCTATTTTTTATTTCTTTCTCAATTTATTTTCCTGCTCTGTTTTGGATATTAATTTTATATTAGGTATAATAATATTAGAACTTCAAAATAGCAGTCATCCCACTATCCTCTATACTGCTATAGTGTTTATGGGGTCAGCCACTCCATGCCTCTATCCAAGAATGACTACTATGGTATCAACGTAACTGTGAGTAAAAGTGAGGTACCCATACACAACTAGTTGAAGTGAAATTTTGAAGCCTTATCTTCCACTACACGCCAAGGTACGAAGACACTTCTCCCAATCTGCCAGATTTTTTGGTTTAAAAATTATTCTAACAGTAATTCATTCTTCCATGACCCAATTCCCCCTTCATGGCAAAGTATGTTATATTATATATTTTCAATTTATGTATACATTTGCCTACTGGAAGGAAATTGGCAACTTTTGGGACTCAAGCTATTTTGGTTGAAGTGATATGTATAATTTTTCTAGGGTTCCATGACCCCAGCAACAATTGTTGGGACTCAAGCTACTTACTATAAAATCATGTGCTAAACAAGAAAGTAACAAAACATAGTTCTATTAGAAATTGATTAAGCTTAATGCAATCCCAAAATTAAGCTTGAGGGGAGAGGGTTGTTAGTGTTATATAAAGATTACTCTAGTCATATACTTAATCATTATAGGACATTTTAATATATTCCTCATGAAATAGGTTCCAGCACCTTAGTAGATACAAACTAGGTTAAACTCAACCCCAAAGCTAGTTCAAGAGGAGAGGATTGCCCTAGTCTTGTAAGGACTACTTTGTCCAAATTCATAGCTGATATGAGATATTTTAACAAGTTCAAAGAATAATAAACAAATCGAATGTTTAATTCTACCAAAGTGATCATAAAGCATGCATTCATATACCTCCAAAAGCCTCCTTTGCTTGTGGATGCTTACATTTGTCAGGGTGAACCATCAACGATAACTACAAAAGATTTGCAAAAAGTAAGTAATACAAGGCAGGCAGAACAGTTAAAACAGCCACAGCAGGAGGAAGAAGTTACCTTACGGTACTGCTTTTTCACTTCATCAATTGATGAGTCAAATGATAGGTTTAGATACTCAAATGGATTTAACTTAAAACAAGAGAGAATCCTGTGGAGAAAATTAAAACGCAGAGAATGTTGATCAGCAGAGGGTGTATGAAACTTAAAATGATAACTAAATTTCTTAATTTCCACATAAATATTAGGTAATAAAAACCAATACATATCTTTAATATTACAAATTGAATACTATACTTGCTTAAAATTCACCCACTACACAAGCTTGCCCCCCTTTTCTAGCTTCTAAATTTTCAGTTGGATCTTTCAGCAAATATTCGTTGTTAATGAACCATCAATTACTGATTTCACCTCCATTCTCCCTCAAAGAGAATACTCAACGTATTCGAGCCAGTGAACAACACAATATACAATGATAACACTATCTACAACTTAAATGATTCTTTCCAGTTGCAATCAAAATGTCAATTATATACTCACGCCGAGGAAATTTATTCTTTCCGATACAAGAACACAACTAAATGTACCTCAGTTCATTGTTGATACTAAGATTAAAAAAAAAAAAACGCATCTATGAATAACTACAATTCAACATCGCAAGCAAAATCAAAATGCCAATCATATATCTATATCCCCACGTAAAGGCAGCATCATCCATATTCCAACTAATCATAGGACACAAATTTTGGATCACGCAAAGTTCTCAAAAGCAAATGAAAAGCAAATACTCCAACACCACAACATAAATTCTTCAACAGATTCACTAATCACACATAAATAACCGTCCAGAAACCCTAATCGCCACCTAACCTAAACACATAGCAACGACGTGCGCATATATTTAAAAATAAAACGCAAGAGTAAGAGCGACAGAAAATTGCAGTTCAGAAACACATAATCATATAGTGAAACGCACATACATTCACTAGATAGATAGATAATTAGAGAGAGAGAGAGAGAGAGACCTAACGACTTCGTTGTCCCTCTCAACTTCGCTGACTTCGGCGAAGAAGTTTTTGAGAAGTAAATCGTCGCCGATGGTTGCTGTTTTGTTTGTGTCTCCCATTTTCAGCTTCCTTCCCTTCACTTCACACGAATTCGATTCAATTTCAGCTTCCAAAAGATTATCGTATTTTCAGAATCTCCTCAAACGACAACGGGAGAGGATTCGTTCCCTTTGTTATACACATTCTACTGCAGTACTATCGCTTCAAACGACGCTTATTGTTATTTTCCCCTTCCGTACCGTATGGCTCAAAAACGTAATGTCGTTTTAGGGCTGGTTGAAAGCAAGAGAGTAAAAATATGCGAGAGGCAACATTATCGAATATAATTTTTTAACAGTTTCATAAATAATATTTTTATTAAAAATACTATTAATTATAATTTCATGTTTTGATATAAATATTTTTAATATTTTTTTATTTTTAACTGATTAAAATTAATCTTAAAAATAAACTTTTTAAAAAAAATTTTAATATATTTTCTTATTGAATAAAATTTTTGTGAACTTTTTAAAATATCATATTTATTATTTACCAAGAAGTGATCAAGTAAAAATTTTTAAATTAAATAAATATTAGCATCAATTTACTAACAAATTAAAATGAGGTACTCAAAACTCAAGTAGACTATTCTTTAACAGCTCATTAGATAGCAGTAAATCGATAAGACTTTGCTAAAAATAATATGTTAATATTTTTCAATTTATAAAAAATAGATTCAGAATAATAATGAATTAAAAAAATATTAAATTTTAGTAATTTAAATATAATAAATACGTTTTTCACTTCAATCTATTTTAATATAAACAAAACTTTTTAGAAAAAACATATTTTTGCAATATTTGGTATCATTGATAGCTAATTTTGAATCTTTGGGATTATCAACTTTAATATTTTAAAAGTTCAAAAGAAAATGTTTAGTGAAGTTCTCAAACTGATATAACATACGTGTTTAATACTTCATTCTTAATGCTACACTATTGTGTTATAATATGAAAATGACAAGAATCAAATTTCTAACTATTCGATTGTAGATATTTTGGTACATAAAACTCATAACTTTAACTTACTAGGTGAAATCACATTAAACAACTTTATAACATCTATAACACCTTAAACCTTAAGTTACTAAAAGATTCGATAAAAAAAAACAACAATAATTAGTGGTGATTCAGTTCAATCAAATTTCAAGCCCACTCGAATAAAAGTTAAAAAGCAACGAAGCCGAAAAAAAAAAGCGCAGTTTGCTAGAATAACTGGAGCAGTAGTAATCAGGTGCACACGTGAAACTTGCAATGCTACTGAGAACCATTAGGAGAATGTCTATTGTTATACTAATTTAATATTTTATATAAAATATCTTTATTATTACATAGTTATAAGAAAAAAATTATTTTGATAAAAATTATTTTGAAAATAATAATAATAGACATGCGTGTGTGACAATGACACCCCTAACTTTTTGAAAGCAAAATCACTCTTTGCGGATTGGTTATTGCTAAAATTGTATTACTACTATTGGTCATTTGTCTTCACCAACGACGGAAATTTGCAGCTAAAATCTAACTCAATCAAAAGTTGTTGATGTTGTCACCGTCCTCTCTTTCATTGTATTCCGTTTTTATTCATATCATAAAGTGATGTTGCAAGGTACGTTGGCAATAATTAACTTTACATAAGACACGTTTGAGAAATTAATAATAAAATATAGACCTCTTAACTAATATTGCTCTGATTAAAAATTTAATAAAAAATTAAAATTATGGTATTAAAAATCACTATTGGATAGTTGATAATACTTTTTCATATACGTTTTTTCATTGTATTTTTCAACCAGATACCAAAAAATATTCGTTAACATTTTCCTAATTTATTCATGACTTGTATATATTTTTAGCCAAGCATATTAAAGCCACTGTTTTGACTTAAACTGAGGACGAGAGGAAAAAAAATCAGGGATGGATCGTGGTGTTCCCAAAATATAAGACCAGTTAGGTCGTGTACGACCCATTCTGAAACCCCATTGGCTTAGATTACAAAAGTAAGAAGCTTGAAAAGAAACCATGATAATTTAGAGAGGACAAGACAGTCAACCTTGTCAAAGATGAACTTTGATTATGTTATGTAACTGTTAACAGCAAAGACGTACGGATAAATATAATAATAATATATATATATATATACACATATGACACTATTCAAGTAATTTCTATGATTTTACAATTAAAGTCTTCTCTCTTGATGTCCCTCTCTCCCTCTCCATTTTCAATTATTTGACCAGCTCCCTGAATGAGTGGGAACTGGGTATAAGAGAGAAAATGATTTATTAAATAGTAATAAACAATATGTGGGTAACAAGTTTTGGATTAGCAATTAATGTGGCCGAATTTGTGACTCAGGTCAAGTAGCAATGCAATACGGCTCCCAGAAAAGAAAAGACCTTCTAGAATCCTTGCAATTTTTCAAATTGTGAACCAAGTAATCACCCTTTTTCCCTCTCAAAACCCGCAACTCTTGTTGGTCATTTGAAGTTTGATTACTATGGTTCTCCAAGGATGAGTAGTTTTTCTGGTGAATGGTAAATGGGCTTGGAACAGAAGTAGCTTGGGCTTTGGGCTTGGTCCGCCAGTAGTATTCATAAGCATTAAAAGAACCCGAAGCTGGTGAGGAATGAATTAACCTAGCCCTTGGCCTAGGTGGCAGTGGACTATGTTGGACCACATTAACATCCTTAAAATTGGTCACATCGTTGAACTTCTCAGACCATCTTTGACTCCAACTAGTGTTAACTAACCCAATTGGTTTATTCATCATTAAAGCTAACCTATGAACATTTGAAATCCCACTAGACAATATAGTTGCTTGCTTCATCCCCCTCTCAACTTGCTCTGCCTCATGATCAAACTCTTCCTCCAACTCCTCCGCTACATCTTTCTCTTCTTCTTCCTCATTAGGATTCCTAGAAAAGGTGAGGATTAAGCGACCATCTTGGCGTTGTGCACAAAAATTTTTGTGTGAAGGAACGCAAACAGCTTGTAGGAATAATCTTCCATTGTCACGGTGGGATTGCATGTGGAGTGAAGGACCATGTTGAGGAGAGAGAGAAGAGAGTGGAGGGGGGAAACAACGAGGCAAAGACTTCTTAGCAGCATAATTATATTTGGGCACAAGAAACTCTTCTTCGTGTGTGCTATGCACTGTTACTTCTTCTTCTTCTTCCTCTGAATCCCCTGTCTCAGATGGTGGATAAGAAGAGAACGCATCTGAGCCAGTCTCGGATCCAAGACTCTCGGTGCATATCTCCAAACTCTTTTCACTCAAACAGCTTTTTGACCTTCTCACAAGAGGGTGAACATAAGGGGTCGTCGTTGTTGTTGTTGTTACTTTGGAGGTTTCCTCTTTGTGGGACAAAATTGAGCTCCACATATCAAACTGTTCCGGTTCCTGCCAAATTTGGAACCGTTCTCGCTTCATTTCTTCGTACTCATCTTCTCCTTCAGACGAGGAAGATGAGTCAGCAGCAACAGTTAATTTTTGGAGTGACTGTGAGTGAGAGAGTTCTTCTGAGGAAACAGTCTTTTTCATGGGAGATAACCCGTTTTGAGAAAGCCATGTCTTGGAAGACATGTCTGCTGATAGTGTTCGTCTCAGAGAAGTGGGAGCAACATCGTAGTTAGAGACCAAAATGGTGACAATGCCCTGCTTCTGCATCACCATACTCTCTTCCTCTATTCTCTTACTCATACAAGTTGACATCTCCAACACCACAAAGACAAGCACAAACACTTGCTTTAGCTGCAAACAATTAAGTAAGCAAAAATTTTAGTAAAGTGTAAAAAATGTATAACCTGAGAAGTTGGTATTTAACAGAATTTCAAGTTACAAAGCATAGTTTGGTACATGCATGTGATCTTTTTTAAAAAAATAAAATAAAGGGAAAGTTTAATTAAATTACCTGAGGCAACACTGGAGCACTCAACACAGGTCTACTTGGAGACCAATGGGAGTGCAAGTTGCAAAGGGGGAAGAAAGGGTGAGGGTTGTTATGAGGATTCAGATGATGTGTTAGAGGAATGGGTGTTGTTGATGGTAATGCAAGTAGGGGAAATGGGGGGTATTTGTAGTGTGCCACTGCCAAAAAGCTTCTATAACCGTATCTCCTACGCCACCATGAAAAAGTGCCCTTTATTGGTTTCTTGTTTATTTCTATTTTTTTTCTCGTTTTGTAGAAAGGTTACATGCAATCAAAATAGGGTTTGAATATTACGAGGGAGGACTCTTATTGGTTCACATTGGCTTTTTTTTCTCAAATAATATGTTGACTGTTATAACAGTGACATGAAAAAATAAATAAATAAAGAATGTACGGGATAGATGATGTGATGTGATATAAAATAAAATAATAAACTATTATATGAATGTATGGATGTAATTAATATAAATAAAATTAGGATCATTTGATTAATTTAATTTAAACAATTCTCTAATACAGAGAGAGTGTCCTAGTATCTTAAATAATAACTGTTTCAAATAATTTGGTCATGTGTGTAAAAAATTGGTAATAGTAATATTAAGAGAGGTTGACTGATGGATGATAGTCCAATAGTTAAAAATAGAAAGAGGAATAAAGAAAACTATGTCGAGCTATTGAGAATTTTTTATTCTTAAATTATTAGAGATTTTAAGATAAATAATATATTTTTTTGACTCCATACAAAATATATTTATGATTTTAAATAATTTATGTAATTGATTTTATCTAATGAGAAAATAATTTAATTATTATTTTTGTTCAAGTATTAAAAAATTTTAGTTAAAAACTAGTAGAAAATATCATCCAAGTAGGGTAATACTAAAAAATTTTTTTGAGGGGTTAAAAAAAGGTTATACATTTGTAATTTTGACCAAAATAAAATGGAAAGTATTAATATTAAATTTTAAGTATTTAAAAGTGGTAAAAATTTGTTAAGAAAGTAAATATTTATTACATAAAAATTATAACCGTATAATAAATAATTTATTTTTTAATAAAAAGTATTATTTTTGCATGATTAAAATAAAACCTAAAAAGTTATGTTAATAGAAACAAAATAATGTTTTTATAAAATTATTTATCAAAGTATGCCATGCCATGTTTTATGCACAAATATATATATATAGGAGAAAGATTTTCTTACACCAGTGTAAGTTTAAAAATTTTTACATCTAATCTAAACCTTTCATTTAACTTATATTCAATGGTCAGTGAAGTAATAAATTATAACCCGTTAGATATAAGTTAAATGAAAGGCTCAGATTGAGTGTAAGAATTTTTAAACTTACATTGGAATAAAAAGTTATATATATGGGGAAGGATCTTCTTACACTAGTATAAATTTAAAAACTCTTATACTAAATCTGAGTCTTTCATTTAACTTAAATTTAATAGTCAATGAAGTAATAAATTATAACCCATTAGATTTAAGTTAGATAAAAGGCTCAGATTATGAGTAAAAATTTTTAAACTTACACCAGTGTAAGAAGATCCTACCCCTATATATATATATATATATATATATATATATATTTATATATATATATTTGTGCATAAAACATAAAGCATAACGTTTAATATATGCTTATATCTAACGAGGAAGAAGAAAAACAAAAGGAAAAGAGATTTTAAGTCAATTTTATTTAATCTATCAGCTCATTAATTAGTTTCCATAAATATATGGTCCAATCTAATATGCTTTATAAGTTTAATATTATCCTTAACCTTATAGATTACATGAAATAAGGAATGAGAGTTGTTTTGAATCTATTGAATACTTCTAAAAGCTTTATGAAAATTAGTTTCAATCTAATAAAGGTTCATATCAGTATATTGCATAAATAATTGAATTCCATAATAAATGCCCTGAAGCTCTGGTCCAAGTGCAGGAAGCAAAGAGCTATGAAATCCAACCACAAAGTTTTCCTTCCAATCTCTGATAAAGCCACCACTTGATCTTGGTTTGGTCCATGACTATCGTCAAGAAGGAGAGTTGTTTGTTCTTACAATAAAATTCAATGTACTTAGCATCACATATTATCTTTTGAATGAAAGTAGGAACTTAAATAGAACAATTATGAAAGACAAAAACATTCATATCTTTTCATAAATGTCAACTAATAAAACTAAAAAGTTTGCCAATTAGAAAATTTTCTAAAATAAGAATTGGATAAATTATCATAAAGTCAATATGACAAACTAAGACCAATAGAAAATAACTAAACCTATTGATCAATAAAGATAAAATAATCTTAAACCGTTCTAGCATAGAAATAATTACACAAACATTCATTATAGATTCATCATTAGCACCACACCTAAAATAAGTAGCTAGAAAAGTCATATATATACATATATAATTTTTTATAGTTTAAAAGTTATATTATTTCATACCCAAGTGTACCCAATTAAAAAAAAACTAGTATTATACTTATATATAATATATAATATAAATAAGTTGATAACAAATTACACTTTTCGCGCATATTTCTTTTGAACTAGTTGTCTTATATTTCATGAGTTTGTTTTTATATTTTTAATAAGAGAAAATTCATTATTAAGTACCAAAATATTATATTATGTTTTGTAATTAATTTTTTTATTAACATATTTGAATTGAATTGAATTTTTTATGTTTGATAACTAGGATTTAAATATCATTGAATTTTTCTACTTGAGGTAGATGTTGCATTTTTAATTAACAATTTTGTTAACAAAAAAATTTTATGATTAATTTTAAGAGACTAGATGAAAAAATTATAAAAAAATAAAATATTTTTTTATATAATATATATTCTTTTAATAAAATATGTTATTTTCAATTACTTAAAATTAATTTTAAGAACTAATGTTAATAAGATTATTTAATTAGTACTAATTGTTTGATTAGTTTTTATAATTAATATTATATATATATATATATATATCGGTAGAGGGAAGTAAAAAAATAAACAAAAAAAAATTACAATATCAAACATGAGACTTCTTGAACATCAACTAAAAGATGTAATCTTAAATTTTTAAAAGGAGAAATTTAATATTCAAAATTACAATATGAAAAAACTCTCAGCTTAGTTAAAAAAATTAGCATATGTGTTGTTTTCATACATGATGTGTTTGATGGTGATTTATTAGTCTTTTTTTAGTCACTCTTTTGTAACTTAAATAAAATTAGTATGCTCATGAAAAGGTGAAATAATTTTCATAATAAGGTTTATGACATTTGTTTTGTTAAAGGAATACAAGAGTGTATGATATTTAGATTTCAAACTATTTTCAACTCCTGAAATATACATGGTTACAAGTTTAGCATGATTATTGTTCAAAATGTCAATGAATACAAAATCTCCTTTAATTCAATTTTTATCTTTATTTTTAATAAGAGTACCAAAATAAACTCTTAAGCTCCCTCCAAACACTCTCATCAACATTAAAAATGAATTTAAAATTTTGATCACCTCCTAATGAACTAACACTTAAGGTATGATTAATATTTCTACGCTTGTTAACATGAATAATTCTGGTTAGCAAAGTTTATAACATTGAACATAATTTTATAAATTGAAATTCTTAAAATAAAGAAGGATTACTTTTATGTTAAGTTATAATATTAAAAATACATATATATATATATATATATATATATTTAATGCACAAAGTTATTCACAAATGAAACACTATGAGACTATGAAAAGAAAAGTCCACTAATTAGGACTGTATATAACCATACTCAAAAAGAGAAAAATCATGCCAACGATTCACAAAAATGATATTTTTTTACAATTTTTTTTATAAAGTACTTTTAGAAGATTTTAGTAATTTTCATTAAAAATTAAAATTTATTAAATACCTTTTTTTCATTTTTCAATAAATAAAATGATAAAAACTTAAATTTAAATAAAAATAAAAATTGATAATAATAATAATAATAATAATAATAATAATAATAATAATTAAATATACCATATTAAAAAAAAGTTATCACCAATTAAGTAAGTCATAAAGTAACATTATTGAGTGAAAGTGGCCTAAGAAGGAAGCAAAGGAATCAACTTTGGGAGAGGCCAATATGATTGGGCGGCTAGAAACCCCCAATGCCATTGTCTCAGAGAGAATCCGACACTTATATCTATTTTAATTTTAAACTAACTTAGTTTAATTACAAGGAATAATGTATGTGGAAACGAATGAACATGCGTCACGTCTTGCTTTTATGGAGATCCTTTTGAATACAGGACTTGCCTCATTTGTCTTTCGCTCTTTTTTGTCACTGTATTTTGCATTTATTTGGGAAATTCGTCTCCGTGCTTGTGGAAAGTCGTGTGATGAATAAATACTATTACGAAGATATAATGCAACGAATACGTACGCACCACATAATAATACACACAAAAAGTTATTGATCGACGTTGATCAATATTTCAAAGCGGAGTACGGAACAATACGCTACAAAATATACCAAATATCGTAAACGAATCAAATACTGGTCTAGTTTAGCGTTGAAACAATTACTTTTATATTTCTAAGAAATGGATTTCCTTAATCAAACACAAACGTTCTAGTGAGGGGCTTGCATGGTAGTTGACCAATTTTAGTGTAATGATATATCTTCCAATATTATTTTATTAATATTCTTTCATTTAGAAAATTGTGAAGAAAAGAGAAATACATTTTAATAAAACACAAAAAGAAGTAATTTTTTCATTTATTAATATTGAAAGAATATACACTTGTAAGAAATTTAAAACAATTTCAAATTTGAACGGTTTATTTATAATAAAATTAGGCGTTTATATTAATGAAATTGAGGTCAACTTTCGTAATACGGATTTAATGGGCGTGATTTTAAGGAGTCTACACACGATCAATTCCCATTGCAAAAAGTCACAATAACGAAGTAAATCTAAAACCCTTATTCACTGCCCCCTAAAGGAAGGGTGACTATAAAATTGATAGATTGCAGTATAAGTTGGGTTCCATATTCGGACGATCAAGCACGTTTGATGGAGTTTAAGCTTCGCATCATCTAAAAGCCCTTCCAAATT